GTGGAAAAGAGATACTTTTGTGAGCAAGACGTGATTACTAACCGTGCAGCGTCAAACTCCTACCGGTTGTTTCAAATATGTTTAGATTGGTGAAAAATCTGAATCAACCGAGTGTCATTCAATCGACATTTTGGTTAGCACAAACTGTTCGTTACGGAGGATGTATGTATGGGGGTGTTTGTTTACAAGAGCTCCCCTACTTACGAACAGGATAGGGTCTTGGGGTTTGTTTGTAAGTCGAACTGTTAGGAAGTCCAATATTACTCTTATAAATACTGAATACTGTACACAGCATTGTAAAAAAAGGTTTGTACATACCACAATAATACTCGACAGTATATTTTACGAGACGTAAACAGTATTACTTAAAGTCTGAGGAACAGGGACTGGGAATGGCTTTAAAGGTTTATAGACTTTTATTAAGGTTGTATATGCAGACAGATTTGTTCGTATCTCTGAAAGTTCGTAACTTGCTTATTGCTTGTTCGTTCATGCTTTATTGTTTGATTGGAAATATTGTTAGTGCTGTACAAGAGGAGATAGTTACTCTAAACTTTCAACGTCATGTCTTGTTAAGGATAGACTCGGGGTTGTAGGTGAAATATGGTCAAAATTTAAATACCCATTTTATTTGGTTATTTCACAATGGTTGCACTGCTGCACTGTAGATATAAGGTCTGGCGACTTCATATATGTTTAGAATTTTCACTACTCTAAACAGGATTTCACTTGTTAGGACGTTAACAGGTTTGGACGGCTCTGCAAAAGATTTCTTTTTCAAAAATATTCTTCTCGTGAAACAGTAAACCGATCTTATCTGCTATTGAAGCGAGCTATCCTGCTCTTAAATCCGCCGTACTGCGTAGATTCTGCGCATGCGCCCCAGCCAGTATCTTCCTCATCGCACTCGCTCACTTCGCCACGCAATTTTCTCGCGAGACTGACATTTCTCACCTGTTACCCCGTCACCACCACAGAAATAATAAGCTAGTTAGATTCCTTAGACTATTGGCCGATCAGCGCTCTAGTGTCGTTATATATTTCTATTCTATATATTCTATATATCTCTATTCTATATATTCTATATATCTCTATATATTTCTATTCTATATAATCTATATATTTCTATTCTATATATTTCTATGGTCACCGCAGTGTCGCGATCCACGAGGCGGCCGGGTACGTAGACTGCCGCTGTGAGATCCCACGGGGCAGCGCCAACGGCGTCGTATTGCATGACGTGTGCGAGCTACACGGATACACGCAAA